TCGTGCCACTGCACTCCAGCCTGGGCGACAGAGCGAGACTCCATCTCAAAAAAAAAAAAAAGAATTGATTTTATTTTGTTATAATTATTATTATTTTCAACAACTTCAATGCTATGTTGCCCAGGTTGGTCTTGAACTCCTGGGTTCAAATGATGCCCTTTGTCTTACCATTTCCTACTGTGAACCCCCAGCCTCCACCCAAGGGTCCTCCTCTCCCTGATGCTCCCCTCCTTGAGCCCCTCAGGCCCCTCACATGTGGAAACCTCCCAGGCCAGCCAGACCTGTGATCCACTTGCCCGGCCACAGTCCATCTGGGCTCTAGGACAAACATGGCCCATTGAGCAACTGAGCTGGTATTGGGGGCCAGAGCCTGGTGTGGGAATGAACAAAACTCTGATGATTCAGCAGAATGAGGAGGGGACACGGTGGCTCATGCCTGGAATCCCAGAGCTTTGGAAGCCCAATGGGGAAGAATCACTTGAGCCTTAGACTTTGAGACCAACCTGGGCAATATAGCAAGACCCCATCTCTAGAAAAAATATGTTTAAAAATGAGCTGGGCAGCCAGGTGCGGTGGCTCACACCTGTAATCCCAGCATTTTGGGAGGTCGAGGTGGACAGATCACCTGAGATTGGGAGTTCGAGATCAGCCTGACCAACATGGAGAAACCCCTTCTTTATGAAAAATACAAAATTAGCCAGGCGTGATACCGCATGCCTATAATCCCAGCTACTCGGGAGGCTGAGGCAGGAGAGTCACTTGAACCTGGGAGGCAGAGGTTGCGGTGAGCTATATCACGCCATTGCACTCCAGCCTGGGCAACAAGAGTAAAACTCCATCAAACAAAACAAAACAAAACAAAAAAAACTAAATTAAAAATAAGTTTGAAAAACTAGCTGGGCATGGTGGCTCTCTCCTGTACACCCAGCTACCCAGGAGGCTGAGGCGTGATGATCATGCGAGCCCATGATTTTGAGGCTGCAGTGAGCTACAGTTTGGCCACTGCACTCCAGACTGGGTGTCAGAGGCAAGCTCTGTCCCAAAGAAACAAAAATAAAAAAGAAGGAAGAGAAGTCAGGCTGGGGGTCCCCTAGTGAAACTGGATGTCCACGGGGAAGCAGCCAGTATGACAGAGGCCTCGGCTGCTGGGATGTTGGCTGCAGAAACTGAGCAGTGTGAGGGCGTCCTGGGCCATTCCACTCTGGTACTCACCTGAGCTCTCTGGAATCTGGCTCTGTTGCCCTGGTGGCTGAGTGTGGGGAGTGTAGAGCTATGGTCTGCCCTGAGGGTGTGGTAGGTCCAGTGTGGGAGGGATCCAGAGTCAGGGCCAGACTTGGGTTTGCTCCGGGAAGGAAGGGGTGTGATTGAGAGGGAGGGAACTTCTCCATTACCCTCCTTAGCACCTGAGCTGCAGCCAAGCTTAGAGTAATCTACAAAGCCAAGATGTGAGTTTAGTGTTTAGTTGTGATTAGAAAACACAAGAATAAAAGGCAAAAGAGCCCAATGTATGCATCTTTTTAAAATTTAGTTTAATTAATTAATTTATTTATTTTGAGAAGGAGTCTTGATCTGTCGCCCAGGCTGGAGTGCAGTGGCATGATCTTGGCTCACTGCAACCTCCGCCTCACGGGTTCAAGCGATTCTCCTGCCTCAGCCTCCTGAGTAGCTGGGATGACAGGCACCCACCGCCACACCCAGCTAATTTTTGTATTTTTAGTAGAGACGGGGTTTCACCATGTTGGTCAGGCTGGTCTTGAGCTCCTAACCTCAGGTGATCTGCCCGCCTTGGCCTCCCAAAGTACTGGGATTACAGGCATGAGCCACCGCACCTGGCCCTTTTTTTTATTTTTTGAACTCTCACGAGGTTCCTGAGCTGCCCTCTGAATTCCACCCTACAGGGCAGGCCGACAGAGGAGTTTTTCTAATTGACCCAGCCAAGGGAAGTGAGCTGGTGAGTGGGGAAAAATGGGTACTCACTAGACAGAAACGGGGCAGGTCATGTTTCCCAGGGCCGTCTTGAAGGCACCGATGCTTCTAGTCCAGTGCAGCCTGCATGCAAGCCCCCAGCAGCCCAGGCACTCCAGGCTCTGACCACAAGGCCAGTCTGGAGTAATATGTGTGGGCAGAGTTGAAGGGGCAGTGGTGGAGCAGAGCATGGATGCACAGAACAAGAAAGAACAAAGACACTGGAGTCCCATCACCCTGGGAGCCAGCCCCAGTTTCATGGCTCTCGGAGTATCGCTAGAAGATCCTAGAAAAACAGCAGCTTGTGGCACATGCTTTTGTTTCCCTGGGTTTGAAGGAGGCTTCAAGAGACCAGAGGAGGCTGAGGCTTGGAAGCCACAGGGCCCTGTGGAAGGAGGGCATCCCCCCATCCTCCTCGTTCTTTGTCCTCACTATTTAAAGTTCAAGGTCAAGCTGGGCATGAGACAGGTAACCATCTGAGTAAAGGTGAGTCTCCCAAGCTTTCCAAGAATTGCCTGAGTTCAGAGGCAAGCGGGCAGGTGGGAGTGTGGGGGAAGCTGAGGCACGGGGCTTCCAGGCAGAGAAGAGCCTGCTCACATGCTAGGGCCACAGGCCCGTCCTCCCTCCTCTGGAAGCCCCTTGACTGGCAGGACCGTGGGCTACTAGCTCTGCCCCCGCCCTCAGCAACCAACAGAAGGCACCCTTGACTCAGACTTTGTATTGCATTCCAGAAAAAAGCCCCAGACCCGCAGTGGGTGGCACAGAAAAAAGGTGGGAGGGGGGTTACACAGATCAATCCTATGAGGCAGGGGTGACTATTATTCACATCTTAGAGATGAGGAAATGGAGGTGGGGGAGTTAAAATCCTTGACCCCAGGGACTAAGCTGGCCAGTGTCCTGTGAGCATGAACAGTTACTGATTGAGTCACAGCCTCACCACTGCAGCCAGAGCTGCCAGGTCACTGAACCTCTGCAGGACAAGCCCTCTACTCACTCAAATTTACCGAGAGCTCAGTAGAAGCCAGGACCATCGTCTGTTATTTTATTAACTATTTGTTGGCCATCGGCTCTATGTGGGACTGTTCTACAGCAGTGACAAGAGCTGCCCTCAGGCAGTTTAGTACACAGGTTCGGATGGGGTTTAATGAGATGCATAACATTTGTAGTATGGCAGACAATAAAAGTGTTCAGGAAAGGTGGGCGGGCAGGGAAGTGCACAAGAAAGAGCCGCAATTTTATTGTATTTTATTTTCTTAGAGACAGGGTCTTGGTCTTTCCCCCCAGGCTGGAGTGCAATGGAGTGATCATAGCTCACTTCCGCCTCCAACTCCTGGGCTCAAGTCATCCTCCCACCTCAGCCTCCCCGGTAGCTGGGACTACAACCATGTGCCACCATGCCCGGCTTCTCAGGGCTGCAATTTTAAATCGGGCGATAGGGAAGACCTCCCTGTGGAAGGCAGAAGGTGTAGAGAAGAACCTTCCAGTCAAAGGAAAAAGGCAGGTCCTGCTGTTCTCAGGAATGGCCATAAATACTATCATCCCCATCTTAGAGAGGGGGACAGGGTCGCAAAATTGTCAGGGCGTTTCCTGGCTCCTCAACAGCTGGATCCAAAGTCCTCTGGAGGATAAGCCGCCCTGCCTGGGGCCGACCTCCCCTGGAGCGCGCGGTAGCGCAGGGCGCACAGGCCTCTTGGGGCCCGGGACCGGCTCAGGCTCAGGCTTGGCGTCAGCAAAGGGACCTGCGTGGCGCCCTGGGGCGGAGGAGGCCCGAAGGCCAGTGGTCAGTGCGGGGCGGCGGGCGGAGGTCGAGGAGCAGCGGGACCGGGAGGCGCGCCCAGGGCGGGGGTGCCAGGCCCACTCCAACCGTGGCGGGGTACGGGGCGGTCAGGGCGGCTCCAGGCAGGGGTCGGACCCCAAATCCGGGCCACATGCCGCCGCCCGGTCTCCTTCCTTACCCGAAGGGCGGCCAAGGCAGACGGGAAGCCGTGCACGACGAGTACAATCTCCCTGGGGAGAAGAACATTGATGTCCTGTGAGCCCCGCCGCGCGCCACTGCGGGCGTAGCCCAGCGCCCTCGCCGCGGGTTCCCTCCTATCCCACCTGAGAACGGGGTCCTCACTCCCGGCTTCAGCTGAGCCCCAGGCCCTGCAACTCCTGAAGGCAGGCCCCCTGCACCTGCCCACCTCAGGCCCTGCCTCCAGCCCGGGTACCTACCTCTTCCCGCTCCTCTCCCTCCTGTGCTCCACCCGACCCCAGCGTGCCCATCAAGACCCCTGCGCTGGACCCCAGCCTGGATCATCACCCTTGCCTCAGACAGCTTCTCCCCGGATTTCCACCGCCGAGATTCCCAGGGCACAGCCTCCCCGTTAGGCTCCTCCCCTGCGACTAGCTCAGTCCTCGCCCTAGACGCCCCGCCCATGTCACAGGCCTGGCGGGTCCCTCTCATCAGGCTTGTGCCCCCCGGTTCCACTTCCTCCAGGAAGCCTTCCTCCGGACAGAGAGACCCTTCCCCTCTTATCAGGGACCTCGCCCACTGGTCTGCCAAGCTCCACCTTTCTTGCGGCCCCCATTGTGCTGCTGGACCTGACAAACAGGGTTGACAGTGAACCCCACATAGACAGGGCCCGGGTACCAGGGATTCAGGCAGTAGAGCAGCTGGACGCTGAAGAAGTGCCCGGCCTCACCCGGATTCCCGCTGGACCCTTCGAATTTTAGGAACTTTTCACTAACGAAACACTTTTCTGTGTCAGCACCGACATCAAGAAGAGAACCTCACCAGTACCTCAGAAGCCGCTTTGTCCCCCGCCTGGTTTCTTCCCTTAGGTGCCTGCTGTGCTGCCGTCTCACCCATCTGTAGTTCAGCGCAGCAGCCCCTGTAGGCCACCTGGCCGATCGGGTCACAGTCCTGCTGGACCCTCAGGTTCACTCAGGGGCTGGGGGCTCCCAGGGGGTCCTTCAACAGCTCAGTGCAGCATGCTGGGGGGTCAGGGCCAGCACCTGTCCCTAGGGCCTCAGGCCTCCCTTCCTTTCCACAGTGGCCAAGATCTCAGGTCTCTACAATGACTCGGAGCCACCCCGGAAGACCATGCGCAGAGGGGTGCTGATGACCCTGCTGCAGCAGTCGGCTATGACCCTGCCCCTGTGGATCGGGAAGCCCGGTGACAAGTGAGGGCAGCAGCTGCGAGGGAGGGGCTGGTGCCCAGGGGCTGGGACTGACCCTTTGTTCTGCTCACAGGCCCCCACCCCTCTGTGGGGCCATCCCCGCCTCAGGGGACTACGTGGCCAGACCTGGAGATAAGGTGGCTGCCCGGGTGAAGGCCGTGGATGGGGACGAGCAGTGGATCCTGGCCGAGGTGGTCAGTTACAGCCATGCCACCAACAAGTGAGTGACACCAGCCCGAGGGCTGCTCTCAGCCCCTCCTGTCCCCCTGCCCCACAGCCCCAGGATGACTACTCTATCCTGTTTGAAGACACCTCCTATGCAGAAGGCTACTCCCCTCACCTCAGTGTGGCCCAGAGGTAGCTGGTGGCTTCCAGGAGCCCAAGAAAAAGTGACGCCGCCCGGTAGACTCGACATCCTCCACCATCCTGGGGCAGGACAGCAGGGGATATGCTGGGATTAAACAGACATCCCCTCTCCACACATCTCCTGGGTTTTACTTCTCCAAACCCCTCTCCCCTCCCCAGATATGGTGACCTAGGGAGCTGGAGGCTGGGGGAGAGGTGACCATATCTGGCCCCACTGGGCATTCACTCTTTCAGCTCAGAGTTTCTCTTCCTTTCCAATATAGGCTCTACATGAACACAAATCGTATTTTATTTTAATTGAACTTTATTTTCTTTGGAGGGAGGGTCTTGCTTGTCATCCAGGCTGTAGTGTATGGGCATAATCGTAACTCACGGTATCCACAACCTCCTGGGCTGAAATGATCCTCCAGCCTCTGCTTCCCAAGTAGCTGGGACTACAGGTAAGTGCCAGCACATGTGGCTAATTACGTTACATCTTTGTAGAGATGAGGTCTCACTATTTTACCAGGCTGGTCTCAAATGTGTGGCCTATTGCGATCCTCCCAGCTCAGCCTCCCAAATCGCTTGGATTGCAGACGTGAGCCACTGTGCCTGACTCAAAAATCATACTTTATTCTTGAGCCCATTGGTCAGGCTTGATTCACACACTCCCTCTGCAGTGACTCCAGGAGTCCCTCTCACAGCTCAGAGCGGAAGCTGAGGCTGCAGCCTGCCATTTTCTCCGCATAGTCCGCATCGAAGCGCTCATTCTGCGCCACGGTAAAGGTGGTTTTCCAGTCCCCAGTCATGCCTGGGGGAGGAAGGGAGGGAGGGAGTAAAGCTGGAGTCCCGCCCAAAGGGAGGCTCTGAGTGCCAATGGGGAGGCTCCAGCTGCTGCTCCCACCGGCCCCAAACCCCCGTGCTGGCCAGCGCCCACCTTTCCTCATGAAGGGGGAGATGCTGTGGTCCATGTACTCCTGGGGGACGGTGGTGTAGTTGGCCATAGGGTTCTTCTTCATCTCCCTGAATGACGTGTGTTGAACCATGAGGTCCACGGTCTCCTCTGGCAGGGAGCGCCCCACAAACTCCAGGATCTTTTGAATCTCCCTTTTGGGGTTCTGAGCAGCAGAGGCTCCTCAGTGGAGCAAAACAAAACAAGTCCCCTCTCTAACCTCAGAGGGGATCTGGCCACTTCCCCGAGAAACCCCGAAGAGCCTTGATCCCTGGGGCCCCTGTCCTGGGGTAAAATGAATTGCTCTCTGCCCTGTGATCCCATCATGAGCTGGGCTTGGCTCCTATGGGTGAGGACCGGGATGGTCTTTTTCCGTGACTGGGGCCCTGGGTGGCACACCCTTTGGTGGGGATAATCAATAGGACTAAGTATCTAATCTGTGGCCCCCCATGCAGCTGACTCAGCTGCGGGAGATGAGAGCTGTGTGGGGTCCGCTGTCAGGTGAGGCTGTAGCGGGGAGGCCTGGGCCAGGGAGGCAGGATGGGGAATCTGGGCCTGTTGTGGGGGCCGCCCAGAAACAGGGCTGGGTGGCCTTGGCGGGTCCCTGTGAGGTGCCTGCCTCCAGGTGTCACATGAGGGGAAGCATCACAGGTGGTCTCACCTCCTTCATGTCTTCATAGAAGAGGTAGAGAACAGGGTGGGTGTGGCTCAGCTCCCACCACTCCTGCACGTGCTGGTACCAGGACCCGTAGGACACTGGAGAAGCGGGCAGGGGGCAGCGACACAGGGTTACTGTGCGTTGTAGCCAGCACCTCTCGGCTCCACACCCTCCTTCCTCCCGTCAAACCCACCTTCTCCGGCCATGAACTTCTCCAGGAAGCTGTCCCAGGTCCCAGGCTCAGGGTGCGTCTTTTCCATACGGTGGAAGTGGTAGTAGGAGACTGCCACATCCTTTGGGTTTCGGGCAACATAGACCACCTGCAGGGGCAGAGGACCCAGCCCCAGCGCCATGACCACACAGCTCGCCCCAGGCCAGCTCACCTCTTGGATTGGCAAAGGAGGAACCTGAGGCTTAGAGGCTGACTTGCTTGAGATCTCACGGCACAGGTAGGGCCAAGCTGGGATCTAACCCTGCTCAGAAGCCAAAGTCCTGCCTGGTCCCTGAGACCATATTCTATACTAATAAAATCTGCATCAATGCTGTCACACTCCGATCTGGAGCAAGGCATGCCCAGTCCCCACCAGCCCCCTCCTCTGCTGACCTGTGAGTACCCACACACTGCCTTTCTTAAGTGTGCACTGTAGAGACTCACTATCTTGGCATCGGACCTTCATCAGAGCAAGAGATACACAGTGTCCTCTCTCAAGATGTGATGAAGGCTGGGCACGGTGGCTCACGCCTGTAATCCCAGAACTTTGGGAGGCCAAGGTGGCCCGATCACCTGAGGTCAGGAGTTCAAGACCAGCCTGACCAACATGGCAAAACCCCATCTCTACCAAAAATACAAAATTAGCTGGGCATGGTGGCAGGTGCCTGTAATCCTAGCTCCTTGGGAGGCTAAAGCAGGAGAATCGCTTGAACCCAGGAGGCGGTGGTTGCAGTGAGCCAAGATAGCATCATTGTACTCCAGCCTGGGCAACAAGAGTGAAACTCTGTCTCGGAAAAAAAAAAAAAAAAAAAAAATCCACAGGCATGTTCCCACCACTGCAAATGTTGTGGGCCGTGAGGACCCACCCTCTACCTTTCTTAGATCTACACACAGAGGTCTCATTTCTTGGTCATCAGAGCAAGAGGCAGACAGATCCCCACCGCGGAAGATGAGACAAGGCTGGAGGAAGTGAGAGGCGACTTTCTCAGAAGGAGCAGGACCAAAGCTGGGCTGAGCCGGGCCTCTTCCTGAATTCACATGCCTGGACCTTTGCTTTTCTTTTTGTTGTGACAACATTTTACTTTATTTTATTTTATTTTATTATTTATTTATTTATTGAGACAGAAGTCTCAGAAAAAAAAAAAAAAAAGAAAGAAAGAAAAAAAGATCTTGGTCTTTCTTTTTCCTGTCCTTGGGTTGGAGTGCACTGGGTAATGTGCTCACTGCAACCTTGACCTCCCAGGGCTCAAGCAACTCTCAACCTCAGACTGTCAATGTTAGCACTAGAGCGCCATGCCTGTACCCTGCTGATAGCCCCCATTTCCTTAGAGATGAGTCTCTCGTGTTTCCCGGGCTTTCGTGGAACTCGGGCTGGCGTTCCACCCACCTTGGCCTCCCAAAGTGCTGGCATTACAGCACTGAGCCATCACAGGTGTCAAACCCGTTTTTTTTTTTTTTTTTTGAGAGGGAGTTTCATGCTGTTGTTGCCCAGGCTGGAGTGCAATGGCAGTCAGCTCACGCAACCTCTTCTCCTGGGTTCAATGATTCTCTTGCCTCAGACTCCTGAAGCAGCTGGGTTACGAGGCATACGCCACCACCAGCCAATTTTGTATTTTTAGTAGAGATGGGTTTTCTGTGTTGTCAGGTGGTCTCAAAGTCCCAGCCTCCCAGGTGATCTCTGCCTGCTCAGCCTCCCAAAGTGCTGGGATTACAGGCGTGAGCCACGCTCGAGCCTTTTTAAAATCTTTCTTATTTATTTACGTTGTTGGCTTGAAGTCTTTCTGTCTCCTAGGCTGGAGTGCAGTGGCTCGATCTCGGCTCACTGCAACCACCGGCCTGCCAGGTTCAAGTGGTTCTCCTACCTCAGCCTCTGACCATGAGATTACCGGCACCACCCCCAACGCCCGGCTATTTTGAATTTTAGTACAAACGGGGCTTCCTGATGTTGGCCAGGGTGGTGGTCTCCAACTCCTGGCAATCAGGTGATCTGCCTTCTCGACCTCCCAAAGTGCTGAGATTACAGGTGAGTCACCCACCTCCTGCCCCCACCAACTTTTTTTTTTTTTTTTTTTTTTGAATAAGTTCACTCTTTTGCCCAGCCTAGATCTCGCTCCTGCAGCCTCTGCCTCCCAGGTTCAACAATTCTTGCCTCAGCCTACTTAAGTAAGCGGGATTACAGGTGCCCAGCACCTTTGCTAATTTTCGGATTTTTAGTATTAATTAAGTTTGCCATAATGTATCAGAGGTAGTCTCAACTCCAGACCTCAGGTGATCTGCCCAGCTCAGCCTGTTAAAGTGCTGGGATTACAGGCGCAGGCCACCGCGCCTGCCGGCCCTCTTTTTATTCCTCATCTTTTTTTTTTTTGGAGACAAGGTTTCTCTGTCATGTAGTCTGGAGTGCAGTGGTGTGATCATAGCTCACTTCACTCTTGAACTCCCAGGCTCAGGTGATCCTCCTCAGCCTCCTCGAGCAGCTAGTACTACAGGCACACACCACTACCCTTTTAGTTTTTCTTTTGCTTTTTTTTGGAAGAGACCCCAGTCTGTAACTTTACAAGCTGAGGGGATCGTCACCTCAGCCTCCCAAAGTGCTGGGATTACGGATGTAAACACTGTGCAGGCCTCCCTTGACCTTCCTGATCCAACAGAGTCTGGGGCAGCGGGCCAAGGGCAGGATGTGTCTCCAGGAGCCGTGAGGAGCTGGTGTGTCTCAAGTCTCAGCCTGAGCAGTGGGTCAGGAAGGTCTGTGAGTGAGCTGAAGCCCAGCCTATCCTCCTCCCCTTGCACAGGGACACGTCACACACCTGAGAATCCACAGGACTAGACTCAGGAAGGGCACCGCAGTGATGGGAGCTCGTGACACTTCTCCAGGTCGCCACTTTGGTAGATGTGCTCAGAATCTGGCTCACCCAGGTAGTCCCTGGAGAGGGAGAGGAGATGGGAGGTGAGCAGGCCGAGGCACAGCCTCGCGCTGGCCCAGGGTGGGGACCCAGCGCCAGGGAGGTGGGTGGCCCTCGTCACCTCGGACTTGGGAGTAGGTGCTGATGGTGAGCAGGTCATCGGGCACAGACCCCGGGAAGCTCTGCAGGGGGGTCAATTTGCCTCTGCAAAGTACTTGATGGCGGAACCCCTTCCCGTGCCTGGTGGCGGTGGGGGTGTCTGGATCAGCTCCATGTTCCTGTGTCAGGAGCCAGAGCCAGGCCTACTTCCTTTACTACCATCCCAACAGCAAGAAAGCGGCATTCTTGCCCCCGGGGAAGTCACTGGGGCCTAGGGAGGCTGAGTGACTTGCCCACGCTCACAAAGCCAGTCAGTGTGAGGCTGGGCAGAAACCAGGTCAGCCTCCTAATGCAGTGGTTCCCAGCCTGGCCACTTTCATTCACCTGCAGAGCTATTCAGAATCAGGAGGCTGGGCCACGGTGCAGACCAGTGAAAGCACCCTCATTAGCGCTTGAGGCCCAGATAGCAGGGTGTGTGGCGGTCTCCAGGAAGTCAGCTGCACTGAGAGCTCGAGGCCTGGCTGTACTGTCTCCTACCAGCCAGTGCCCTTTGTCTTACCATTTCCTGCTGTGAACCCCCAGCCTCCACCAGTGACTCTGTCCCTGATCTCCCCTCCATGAGTTCCCTGTGCCCCTCACAGCAGCAGGCTTCTCCCAGGCTGACCAGGCCTGTGATCCATGCCAAGCCACAGTCATCAGGAAGCTCCAGGACAAACACAACCCATTGAGCAGCGAGCAGGCACTGGGGAGGGCCCAGAGCCTGCTGTCAGGAATGAACAGAACTCTGATGACTCAGCAAGAGGACAGGCCCAGGCAGGGCCTGGTTCCCGCCTGTAATCCCAGACCTAGAGGCCAAGGCCAGGGTTGCAGGAGATAATCATAGGCAACGTGCAAGACTCCATCTCTAAAAATCTTTAAAATATATTTTAAATTAGCAGGCAAGATGGTGAGGGCCTGTAGTCCTAGCTACTCCAGAGGCTGAGGCAGGAGAATTACTTGAGCCCAGGAATTTAAGGCTACAGTGGCCAGGATCCCCACACGGCACTCTCAGCCTGGGTGACAGCAAGACCTAGCCTCTCTCTGGAAAAAAAAAAAAAAAAAAAAAAGGGAAGGAGGGAGATTCATAGCTGAGGTTGTCCCTGAAATGGAATATCCAAGGGGCAGGGGATTCCATGGCAGGGTTATCTGAAATGGGATATCCATGGGGAAAGGAGCAGGGATGGGAGGCCTCTCGGCTTCTGGAATGTCGGAGCCAGAAGCTGAGCAGAGGTGAGGGCACCCTGGGCCCTTCCAGTGTAATCACTCACTGACTCTCGGGAACCTGGCCGGTGCCCTCCCGTCCGCAGTGGCTGAGTGTGGGTGCAATGTGGGAATGCAGGGGAGTGTTGTCTGTGCTGAGGTTTTGCCAGGTCCAGTGTGGAGGATCTGGGCTAGAGGCGGACTTAGATTTGCTTCGGAAGGAAGGGGTAGGATTAGGGGTGGGAGGTTTCTTCTTACCCTCCTTGGTATCCCAGCTGAAACAAGCTTGAGTGATCTCCCAAAGCCACGACTGAGTTTGATGTGTAGAAAACAGAAAGAGTGAAAGGAAAGGGCCCAATGTGTGGGTTTGTTTGTGAGTTGTTTTGTTTTGTTTTGTTTTTGTTTTGAGATGCTCACAGGAGCTCCTGACCCCCTGCCAGAGCAGGCCAACAGACAAGCTTTCTCTGAGTTAGACCAGGCAAGAGGGGGAGAGAGAGGATTGGAGGAGAAAGATGGGATAGGCAGGCCGGGAAAGGTCACCTACGTGCCTGTCAGGCCAGTCTTCAGCACAGGGTTCTGGCTGAGTGCAGCTTGAGCCCCAGCAGCCCATGCACTCCAGGCTCTGACCACAAGGCCAGTCTGGAGTGATGTGTGTGGAGCAGAGTGAAGGAGCAGGAGAGGAGCACAGCATGGATGCATAGAAACACAAGAAAGAGCAAGGACAATGCAGTCCCTTTGTCCTGGGAGCCAGCTAGCTTCAGCTTCGCTGGAGCCCCAGGAGAATGACTCTGAGATGGAAGCTCCTGCCTGAGCCTCGAGCTCTTGCCCCTCATGCTTCTGGTGACACTTGGGACACAAGCCACCTGCTGAGGCCAGGATCCCTGCCTGCCATCTCTGGGCTGCCCTCGGTCCTCTGAACATAGAGGCCTGAAAGGCAGAAGCTGAGACCCTCAGCTATGGCCCCACTGGGAGGGAGTCAGCGCCCTTCTCCCCAACCTTTTCACTGTCCTGGAGTCTCCAGCCACTGAAAAGGCTGTGTAAGCAGGGACTGAGCCAAGACTTCTTGACCCCAGAGTGAAGGATGATGAGGGTGGCTGAGTCCCGGCCCAGAGGCTCCTGTGGTCTAGGCTGGGGAAGGGTGCCTGTCCTGTGTTTATAGGGCTCTCTAGGCAACCCTTCCTGTCTGCCTGCCACACAGCCCCAGGATGACTACTCGGTCCTGTCTTAGAAGGAGCACCTCCTATGCAGACAGCTATTCCTCCCCTCAATGTAAGCCAAGAGTACGTGGTGAAACTGTAAGAGGCCCAAGAAAAAGTAGCTGCCTGGCGGACTCGCCATCCCCCAACGACACAGGGCAGGACAGCAGAGGATGTGCTGGATTAGACAGACATTAGCCTCCCATCGTCTCCTGGGGTTTACTTCTCAGACCCTCTCCCTCTCCAAACAGGGCAAGTTGGGGAGCTGGAGTGGGGAGGTGGCCGTATTTGGCCCCAGTGGGCGTCGATCACTCTTTCAGCTCAGGGTTTCTCTTGTGGCTTGAATAAAACTCTGCATTGAACTGGAAATCATAGTTTGTTGTTGTTGTTTGTTGTTTAAGACTAGATCTTACTCTATTGCCCAGGCTGGAGCACAGTGGCGTGATCCCAGCTCAATGACTCACACTCCCGGGTTCAGTCAGTTCTCCCACCTCAGCCTCCAGAATAGGTGGGATTAGGCGCACCACCATGCCCAGCTAATTTTGTATTTTTAGTAGAGACAGGAGTTTCTCCATGTTTGCCAATGGTCTTGAACTCTTAACCTCAAGTGATCCTGTAGAATAAACTGCACAGAAATTAGGCATAAGCCACTGAGCCCAGCTCAAACAATATTTAATTTAATTTAATTATCATTTATTTATTTCTAAACAGAGTTTTGCTCTTATGCCAGGCTGGGGTGAACTGGAGTGCGATGCGGCTCACTGCAGCATCTATCTCTGTGTTCAGTTATCTATATTCTCCAGATGGCTGTAGAGATTACAGAGTGTCTGCCAATATGCCTGGCTCATTTTCTGTATTGTTTTCTTTTCTTTGCGTAAAATTAGTTTCACCATGTTGGCTACTAGTCCTGAATCATAACTTATTTTAATTAAATTATCTTTATTTCACCTCAAGCAAGGTTTGCTCTGTCCCTCAGGCTTGAGTGGATTAGCCCAAGTACAGCCAACTGCAGCCACAGCCTCCTAAACAGGTGATCCTCCTGCCTTACTTTGCAAATGGCTGGGACTACAGGTGCCCACCACCACGTGCAGATCATTTACAAATTTTTATAGGGATGGCGTCTTGTAGCATTGACCAGGCTGGTCCCAAACTCCTCTCCTCATGATCCTCCTGCTTCAACTTCCTGATTGCTGAGATTACAGTCATAGAGCCCTGCCTGGCACAAATCATATTTATTCTTTTATACAAAAATTGATTGTATTTTTGATATATATATATATTTTCCAACAGAATCTGCTATGTTGCCCAGAGTTGGTCTTGAACTTCCTGGATTAAAATGACCACCACCTCAGCTCCCAAATTGCTGGGAGTTACAGATATGACCTACAACTCCTGGCCCTCAATTCATATTTGGTTGAGCCCCTTGGTCCAGGCTTGATTCGCACACTCCCTCTGCGAGTGACTCAAGGCCCCTCTCATGGCTCAGGCGGAAGGCTGAGGCCACAGCCCTGCCATCTTCTCCTTGAGTCCGCGCCAGGCGCTCCGACCTGCGCCACGGTGAAGGTGGTTTTTGATCCCCAGTCATGCCTCGGGGAGGAGGCAGGAGCAAGCTGGAGTCTCATCTAGGGAGGCCCTGAGTGCCTATGGGGAGGCTCCAGCCGCTGCCTGCTAAACCCCGTGCTGTGGCCACCCCACCTTTCCTCATGAGTCTGTGATCCATGAGCTCCTGGGAGGATATGGTGGTGTAGTTAGCCATAGGGTTCTTCTTCATCTCCTTGAACCAATCTTCTGTTGAACCATGAGTCCCCGGTCTCCTCTGTCAGGGAGCGCCCCACAAACTCCAGGATCTTCCGAATCTCCCTTTTGGGAGTTCTGAGCAGCAGAAACCTCCAGTGACTAGGTTGCTGATTCAATCAAAGGTCATCTACTCTAACCTCAGAGAAACCCAGCCACTACCAAGCCACAGAGCCAGCTCTAGCAACCCCCGGCGCCAGTCCCTGGGATAAAATGAATTGCTCTCTGCCCTGTAGTCCATCGCAGGCTGGGCTTGGCTCCTGGGTGAGGACCAGAAGGATGGTCTTCAGTGACTGTAGCCCTGGGTATGGAAACCCTTTGGTGGGGATAATCAATGGACTAAAGTATCTAATCCATGGCCCCCATGCAGCTGACTCAGCTGTAGGAGATGAGAGCTGTGGGGTCACGCACCCAGGTGGGGCTATCAGGAGGCCTGGGCCAGGAGGAGATGAGAATCCGGACCTGCAGTAGGAGCCACCAAGAGGCGGGCTGAAATGAAGTAGGTACCTGCTGGAGTGCACACCTAGGTGTCGCGGGGAAGCATCACAGGTCTCCTCACTGTCTTATGAAGGGTAAAGACAGGGTGGAGTGGCTCAGCTCCACTCCTGCACGTGCTGGTACCAGGACCCGTGAGACACTGGAGGCGGGCAGGGGCAGCGACACAGGGTTACTGTGCATTGCAGCCAACACACCTTGGCTCCACACCCTCCTTCCTCCCGTCAAACCCACCTTCCAGCCGCAGACTTTACTCCAGGAAGCTGTCCAGTCCCAGGCTCAAGTTGCACCTTGGCCGTATGGTAGAAGTGGTAGTAGGGAGACCGCCACGTCTTGCGTTGCGGGCAGCATAGACCACCTGCGGGGGGCAGAAGGCTCGACCCCCAGCACCCATCACCACACAGCCTGCAGGCCAGCTCATCTCTTGGTTGTGAGAGCCTGAGGCAGTGACTTGGCCCGAGATCTCACTCCCTTTTGGTAGACCAGCTGGGATCTGAACCTGCTTTTTTAAGCCCAAGCTCTGCCAGTCCCTGAGACCATCATGGCTCAAGTAATATAATCTGCATCAGTCGTCACCGATCTGGAGCAGGCGCTGCTCCTGGCATGTTCCCACCACACCAAATGTTGTAGGCCTGTGAGACCACCTCTACCTTTCTTGGATCTTACAAATTTCATGTTCTTGGTCACATGAGCAAGGGCAATTCAGTCCCTCTGTGGAAGATGAGACAAGGCTGGGAGGAAGTGAGCTGACTTTCCCAGAAGAACAAATTCAAAGCTGGGCACAGGGCCTCCTTATGATTCACATGCCCCACACCTGGACCTTTGATTTTTCCTTTTTGTTGTGGAATTTATTTTGTTTTTTTTTTTTTTTTTTGAGACAGAGTTTCGCTCTTGTTGCCCAGGCTGGAGTGTCGCTCGTTTTGACTCCTGCAACCTCTGTCTCCCGAGTTCAAGCAATTCTTCTGCCTCTCAGCTTCCCCGTGAATGGGATTACAGGTGCCCACCACACGCCTGGAGAATTTTTGGTTAGTAGAGATGGGATTTTGCCATGTTGACCAGGGTGGTCTCAACTCCTAGACCTCAGGTGATCTGCTGGCCTCAGCCTGTTAAGTGCTGAAGTTGACGGCCACTGCGCCTGCAGCCCCTCTTTTATTCCTCATCTTTTTGAGACAAGGTTTCTCTGTCACCCAGTCTGGGGAGCGCAGTGGTGCAGTCATAGCTCCTTCCTCCCAGACTCCCAGGCTCAGGCGTCCTCCCACCTCAACCTCCTCAGTAGCTGGTACTACAGGCACACACTGTATGCATACTTAGTTTTTTTTTTTGGGCCAGACTGGTCACCAGCACCACGGCCACAAGGGATCTTCCCACCTCAGCCTCCCAAAGTGCTGGTTGAGATCATGTGAAACACTGTGCCCGGCCTCGCCAGCCTTCTGATCCCAGCAGAGTCTGGGGCAGCAGGGCCAGGGGCAGGTGTGTCTTCAGGAGCCGTGAGGCCGGTGTGTCTTTCAGAGTCTCCATCCCACAGGCAGTGGGTCAGGAAGGTCTGGTGAGCTGACCCCAGCCCTGTCTTTCTCCCTCCCCTTGCACCCAGGACACGGTCACACACCTGGGAATCCCTGGGGCTTTGAACTCCAAGGAAAGGCACCCGCATGAAGATGGGCTTCGGTGACACTTCTCAGGTCGCCGCCTTGGTAGATCATGTACAGAATCTGACTCACCCAGGTAGTCCACAGAGGAGAGTGGGAGGTGAGCAGGCCCGAGGCACAACCTGCCTCGCTGGCCAAGGTAGGGACTGGCGCCGGGGAGAGGGTGGAGGTGGCCCTCGTCACCTACCGGACTTGGGGTAGGTGTGATAGGCAGGTCATCGGGCCGGGCCCGGAAGCTCTGCAAGGGGTGCGGTACCTCTACCAAAGTACTTGATAATGGAGACCCCTTCCGTACTCCGGTGGCGGGCGAGAGGTGTCCTGGATCAGCTCCATGTTCCTGTGTCAGAGCCAGAGCCAGGCCTACTTCCCTTTAACACCATCACAGCAGCAAAAGCGGCATTCTTGCTTTCAGGGAGAAGATCACGCCTGCTAGGGCTAGGAGGCTGGTGGCTGCCCCAGCTCTGACCAGTCAGTGGCAGGGCTGGGGCTGAAACCAGGTCAGCCTCTAATGCAGTGGTTCCCCAGCCTGGCCACCTTTGTTCCACCTGCAGAGCTGTTCAGAAGATCAGGGCCTGGGCCACGGTGCAGACCAGTGAAGCACCCTGCGTAGCGCCCAGGACACTAGATAACAGAGTGTGTGGTCTCCAGGAGAGTCAGCTGCTGAAGCTCTAGGAGCCTGGCACAGCTGTCTCCCTTTTCAGCCAGTACCTTTGTCTTGCCATTTCCTACTGTAGACCCCAGCCTCCACCCAGTGAGCTCCTGTCTGATATCCCTCCTTGTGATTCCTGTGCCCTCATGTAGAAACCTCCCAGGCTGACCAAGGCCTGCTTGATCTGCTGCCGGCCATGTCCATCCAGTCTCAGGACAAACTGTGGTGAGCAGCGGGAGGCTGAGTACTGGGGCCAGAGCCTGCCTGTAGGAATGAACAAAACTAAGTGACTCAACAAAGGACAAGCCCAGGCAGGTGGCTCCCGCCTGTAATCCCAGACCCTAGGACCAGGCTAGGAGTTGGAGACCAATCTGAGCAGCATTTGCAGACACCATCTCTAAAAATCTTTTAAAAATGTTTTAAAAATTAACCAGGCAAGATGGTGAGGGCCTGTAGTCATTTACTCAGAGGCTGAGGCAGGAGAATCACTTGAGCCCAGGAATTAAAGGCACAGTGGCCAGGATCACAGCACTCCAGCCTGGGTGACAGCAAAGGCCTGGCCTCCCCAGAAAAAAACAAAAAAAAAAAAGCAAGGGAAGGGTTGCGGCCAAGGTTGTCTGGAAATGGGATATCCATGGGAAGGCAGGGATGGGAGAGGCCTCGGCTGGAGATGTCGGAGCCAGAAGCTGAGGCAGGGTGGACGCCTGGGCCCTTCCAGTGTGTCACTCACCTGAGCTCTCGAGAACCTGGCCGAGTGCCACTCCGTCCGCAGTGGCTGAGTGTGGGTGCAATGTGGGGAATGCAGGGTGTTGTCTGTGCTGAGGTTTGTGATCCAGTGCTGGGAAGGATCTGGAGACTAGGGACTGAACAGATTTGCTTCCGGAAAAGGGTAGGATTAGGGGTGGGGAGTTTCTTCCATTTACCCTCCTTAGTATGCCAGCTGGGAACCAAGCAGTGATCTCAAAGCCACGGACTGGAGTTTGATGTGTGGAAGAGTGAAAGGTTTTTTGTTTTTGTTTTTGGTTTTGAGATGTACAGGGCTCTGACCTGCCCCTGCCAGGCAGGCCAACAGACAAGCTTTCTCTGATTGAACCAGGCAAGAGAGGGGAGGGATTGGAGAGAGAAAGATGGGATAAGGCAGGCAGGAAAGGTCACCCTCGTGCCTGCTCCAGGCCAGTCTTTCGCACCAGGGTTCTGGCCCCAGTGCAGCCCACAGGCCCCAGCAGCCCATACATTCCAGGCTCCTGACCACAAGGCCAGTCTGGAGTGATGTGTGTGGGCAGAGTGAGAGGAGCAGCAGGAACAGGGCATGGATGCATAAACCAGAAGAACAAGGACACTGCATTCCTGCTAGGAGCCAGCCCCAGCTTCAAGGCTCCCGGTGGGGAGCTCACAGAACATCGATAGAAGATCCTGAAGAACAGCCCATGGCAAGTGCTTTTGTTTCCTTGGTTTGAAGGGGCTCCACGAACAAGATATCAGAGGAAGCTGGGGAGAAGGGCTTTGGAAGCCACAGGAGCCCCGTGGAAGGAGGGGCATCCCCATCCTCCTCGTTCTTTGTCCTCATATTTAAAAAATTCAAGGTCAAGCTGGGCCACTGAGATAGCTAACAACCCTCTGAAGTAAGGTGAGTCTCCCAAACAAAGAAAGTAACAATGAGTCAAGCAAGCGGCAGGTGGGAGTGGGGAAGCTGAGGCATGGGGCTTCCTGGGGCGGAGGCTGCTCCTGCTGGAGCCACAGGCCCTCTTCCCTCCTCTGTGCCTGAGGAATCCCGTGACTGGCAGGTCCTGGAGCTGCTAGCTCGCCCCTGCCTAGCGACCTCCAGGAGGCCCCCTTGACTCAGACTTTGCATTGCACTCCAGTAACTGGCAGGTCAGACTCACACAGGGTGGCACAGAAAGAGGCAAAATGTGAGATTAATGAGTGGTAGCAAGTGAATAAGAAAATCCCAGGCAGCAGACTTCTGCATGACCAGAAGAAGGAAACTTGAAATAGTTGCATATGCTAAGGGGCCAATAAGTCCTGAAAAATAGGATGAGACCAAGCTAGCTGACCAACCAGACACAACATGGCGCCGTATTTGATGTAGAGTTTCACTGGGATCTCACTGTACGATCAGTAACATAGGCTCATCGCCCGCCGAGCTAAGAGCGGCTCCAGGAACACCTGGATTTGGGTGTAAATTGGCAGCACCACAGTCTTGAGAAATCTCTTTCCCTTTTCCTGGAATCTATGAATATACCCTCTTTAGTTAAAGAAGCCCATAAGTCAGTCCCAAACCTCGTAGGGCATGAGACCTCTCTTGAGGACCCCACATTTCCCCTTCTTGAGTGAGTCCTTTTGCTCTGCAGAGTGCCCTCATTCATTTGACTTTCTGGTTGCCTTAAATTCCTTCTGGCAAGGTGTCAGAGCCTGGAAGGCCAGGCACAGTGGCTCACTCCTATAATCCCAGCAATTTGGGAGGCTGAGGCGGGCAGATCACCTGAAGTTGGGAGTTCAGAGACCAGCCTGGCCAATGGGAAGCCACCAATCTGAACTAAAAATAGAATATTAGCCCAGCGTAGTGGCATGCGTTCATTCTCAGCTACTCAGCAGGCTGAGGCAGGAGAATGGCTTGAACCCGGGAGGTGGAGGTTGCGGTGAGCCGAGATCGCGCCATTGCATTCCAGCCTGTGCAACAAGGGTGAAACTCTGTCTCAAAAAAAAAAAAAAAAAAAAGCCTGGACACTGGCCGAGGTCGATCTCCACCGGTCTTTGAGGACCTCCTAGGCCACCAGTATCTGGAGGGTTTAGGGACACTGAGGATCAGGTCTCAGCAGTGCTGTCCAGTGTGCCTGCAGAGGCAAGAAAGGTTGTTCACAGGCAGCCCAGGGCAGGAGTGGGAGTAGGAGGCTGCGGCCAAAGCCCACTCATGTCTTCCTGATTGATCTTCTGCTATTTCCTCCATGCTCGTCCAGCACAGCCAGATCCGGTCACCCAAAGCAGTGACATCTCACAGCTAAAGGCATGGGGCCAAGAGAGATGAAGTCAGGCATCACAAGCCCCCTCCAGGCTCAGCCCTGAATACCAAGATCAGGACTCGGCTGCCCTGGCCTGGATTGCACAACTGGGCACCCTCTTCCCAGAGCTGGACCAGGCTGGGGCTGGGGGACTGCACTCACCCAGGGCATTGGCCCTCTAGGGGCAGAAGCTGCCCTGGTTCTTCCCGAAGGAACTCCTCTGACAGGCTTGGATCCACATGGGCTCCTTAGCCCAGCAGCCAGGAGTTGAGGCAACACAAAGGCCTCTTCATCCCATCCCAGGCAGCAGGCAGGTAGAGACAAGGAGGGAGGGAGCTGGCTGACAAGCCCCTCCGTGCAACAGGCACTGTTCCGGGCATCACACAGCTCCATCCCGTAGGGAAGGGGTGACTGTTATTTGCATTTTATGGATGAGGAAATGGACGTGGGAGTTTAAAATCCTTGCCCCTGGGACTAAGCTGATGAACGTCCTGCTGTGGTATCAGCAATGATTGATTAGTCATGCCTCACCATTGCAGCCAGACCTGAACTTCCTCACAGCTCAGCAACACCCAGCAGGTCTGATTTCCCAGGTCTGATCCTCCTGCTGATCACAATTGGCAGGGCTCAGTAGAAGGCGCCCATCGTCCATTATTTGACTATTTCTTGGCCATGGTCTCTGTACCAGACTGTTCTAGCAGTGACAAAGAGCTGTCTCGAACTTTGATTTAGTGCAAAGTTGGGTGGGAGAGAGTAATGAGAGCAATAAAACACCTAGCAAGTCAGATAATAAGTGTTCAGGAAAAGGAGCGGAGCGGGGGAGGCTACACAAGAGGTGCAATTTTATTTTATATTTTTAGAGACAGTTTCTTGCTCTTTTGCCCAGGCTGTGAGTACGATTAGAGTGATCTTAGCTCACTGCAGCCTCCAGCTCCTGGGCTCAGCGTTCAGCCTGCCCACCTCAGTCCTCCCTCGTAGCTGGGACTACAGGCATGTGTCACCGTACCCGGGTTCTCAGAGCTGCAATTTTTAAATGGGAGATGAAGGGACCTCCTGTGCAGGTGGCAGGTTATCAAGGCAGAAGGTGTGAGAAGAACCTTTGATCAAAGGAAAAGGCAGGTCCTGCTGTTCTCAGGAATGGCCAGAAGTACCTCTCATCCCCATCTTGGAGGAAGCAGGGACAGAGTCGCAAAATTGTCAGGGCGTTCCTGGCTCCTCAACAGCTGGATCCAAGATCCTCTGGAGATGACGCCCTGCCTGGTAGCAGGACCCCGCTCTCCTGGGCGCGAAGCCAGCTGCAGGGGCGCCTGAGCCTCTTGGACCCGATGTCCGGCTCAGGCTCAGGCTTGGCGTCAGCAAAGGGACCTGCGCGGCGCCCTCGGGCCGGGGAGGCCAGCGCCAGTGCAGCGCGTCGGGCAGAGGTCCCAGCGGAGTCAGGTGCAGAAAGCGGGAGGGAGGAGGCGCGCCTAGGACAGGGGTGCCAGGCCCACTCAGCCGAAGAAGCGAATGCGGGCGTCGGGGCGGCTCCGGCCACGGGGCGGACCCCAAGCCCTCGCCTGCCTGCCGCTGCGCTGTCTCCTTCCTTATACCAACGAAGGCGACCACGGCTGACAGGAGGCGTGCTAGCAGACATCCATCTCCTGGGGAGGAGGAGAACGGTGTCCTGTGACCCTGCGGCAGCCTTGATCCTCAATCCCACCCCACAGATCGCACAACAGGCAGGGCCCAGGCCTGGCACGGTGTCTCATTCCTGTAATCTTGCATGGGCTGAAGCGGTGGATCCACTTGAGTCCCAGGAGTTCGAGAACAACCTGGCCAACATGGTGTTCCCCCTCTTGTACTAGTAAAAATTAGCCAGGCATGGTGGCACGTGCCTGTAATTCCAGCTACTGGAAAGCCTGAGGCAGGAGAATCCCGGGAAAGAGTGGGGCAGGGCGGTGGCGGAGGTTTCAGCCAAATCGAGCCATTGCATCCTAGTGAGATGGGGAGGGTCTCTGTGCGGGAGGAGGCACCATAGGCTTGGGGACCCCGCGAGGCACAGGCCTGATGAGAGGGAGTGGGCAGGCCTGTGACATAGGTGGGAAGTGGGCTGGGATGGGGCTGCTGCTCGCAGGGAGGCACGAAGGGAGCCGTGCCCTGGGAATCTCGGAGGTGGAACTCGGAGGTGTAGCTGGGCGGGTGATGATCCAGGATGCAGGCCAGCGTAGGGGGTCTTGAGTGGCACGCTGGGAGGGGAGAGAAGGGAGGACAGGTGGGTGTGTAGTCTGGAGGTGGGGCCTGAAGTGGGCAGGTGCAGGGGCATGACTTCAGGCAGCAGCAAGGCCTGGGGCTAGGTTGAAGCCCCAAGTAAGGGACCCCGCTCTGTGTTCCTTCCCTGGGTGCCGGCTGTGCTGCGTCTCATTCCCTTGTAATTCAGTGCAGCAGCCCCTGTAGGACACCTGGCAGATTGGGTCACAGTGCTGCTGGGCCCTCAGGCTCACTTGGGACTGGGGCGCTCCCGGGAGTCGTCCAACAGCTCAGTGCAGCATGCTGGGGAGTCAGGGCCAGCACCTGTCCTGGGGCCTCGAGCCTCCTTCCTTCCCACAGCGGCCAAGATTGCGGAGTCTCTACAATGACTCGGAGCCACCCCGGAAGACCATGCGCAGGGGGGTGCTGATGACCCTGCTGCAGCAGTCGGCCATGACCCTGCCCCTGTGGATCAGGAAGCCCAGTGACAAGTGGGGGCAGCAGCTGCGGGGGCTGGTGCCCAGGGGCTGGGACTGACCTTTTGTTCTGCTCACAGGCCCCACCCCTGTGTGGGCGCCGTCCCGCCTCAGGGGACTACGTGGCCAGACCTGGAGACAGGTGGCTGCCGGGTGAAGGCCGTGGATGGGGATGAGCAGTGGATCTGGCCAGGTGGTCAGTTACAGCCATGCCACCAGCAAGTGAGTGACACCAGCCCCCAGGGCTGCTCTCCTGGTTGCTGCACCTGCCTGGGCTGTCGCTCTGCTTCCCATCTGCTCAGCTGGGGCAAGCTCCACAGAGGGTGATGTGGGCGGGAGCCAGCTGTGCAGGGAGCACCAGATCCTGCATACCCGAGTCCTCCACCTCCTTGACAGGGACTGTGCCCCTGGCTACACCCAGCGTTTTCCTCCTTTTGTCCACAGGTATGAGGTAGATGACATCGATGAAGAGGCAAGAGGAGTGTCCAGGCCAGGGCTGAGGCATGACCTGGGGCGGCTAACAGCTGGGAAGAGGCATCCCCACCCAGCCACAGGTTGACACAAGTCCCTCATATAGTCGAGAGACACACCTGAGCTGACGCTGGATCCTCCCGCTGCCCCAGTGGAAGGACAACCCCGGGAGCCGGACCTGGAGGCCTTATTTGGGCGAGGCGGGTCATGGAACTTGGGCGAGGAGCAGAGAAGGTAGTCAAGGGAGACAACCTGTCTCAGGATGCTGCGACCTTGGTGACCTCACGGCCAACACAGTAAGCCTCAGCATTCGCCTGGTCACTGAGTTCATTCCAAGCAAAGCTATCCCCAGTAGAGACGCGTGCTTTGCTTTTGAGAACATGTGCATTTTGATTTCCTGTCCTCAAACCCCAGTAATTGCTCATTTTAATAGTAAAAACCACACCCCTGGGTGGAGATTTAAAATGCTAATGAGACATGTGTCCTAGGAACAGGCATGTATAGCAAATGCCCATGTGCACCGGAGGACCACCCAGATCCCATGCTTACTAGTGATGCAGCCACCCATTATGAAAAATTGTGTAAGATTCCCATCAGAGAGAGTTTTCTGTAATGGTAACACTGTTCCACCTGACAAGAAGCCCGTTCTGAACACAACAAAGTGTATTGTCTATTATGCACTTAACTTGCAAAATACAGTTTTTCTTTTGCAATACTTTACTCTGTGCTGCACTTCTTTTGCTGTACGTCTCTTGTTTTAAATTATTTTATTTATTTATTTATTTATTTATTATTATTTTTTAGATGGATGTTGCTCTGTGGCCTAGGCCAGAGTGCCGGTGGTACAATCTTGACTCACGGCAACCTCCTTCTCCTGGGTTCAAGCGATTCTCCTTCCTCAGCCTCCCAAGTAGCCGGGATTACAGGGTTCACCACAACACCTGGCTAATTTTGTATTTTTAGTAGAGACGGGGTTTCGTCATGTTGGCCAGGCTGGCCTCGAACTCCTTACTTCAGGTGATTCACCCACTTCAACTTCCCAAAGTGCTGGGATTACAGGTGTCAGCCACCGCGCCCCGCCTGCTTAATTTATTTTTTTAAACAGAGGCCAGGTATCTGGCAGTGTGAGCTGGGAAGCAGTGCCCCAACCTTTGAATTAATGGCTTCAACCCGAGAGACACACCCTGAGCTGGCAGTCACGGCCTCAGTGGAAGGCCAACCCCAGATGGACCCCCAAGGCCTTGTTCCAGAGGGAACAGCTCATCATGGCCCTGTATCCCCAAACCACCTGCTACCACCACGCCCTGATCCACACGCCCCCACAGCAGGTAAAGCAGCCTCCAGGGGAGAGGTCATTGGTGACACCAGGAACAGGCTGATTAGAGGCTAGCGTCCTTCCTTGTCCCCTTTGTCCTCATCTCCCGAGCCAATGGGACCTGCCAGTAGCCCTCCCTCTTCCCTCAGCCCCAAAGGCCACTGGTCCCTTGCCAACCCTGGCAGCCTTGGCAAGCCCCAAGTCAGTGGCATCCCTTCTGCAGCCCCAGGAGAACCAGCTCTGGATGGGAATCTCCTGCCCTGAGCCCAGGCTCTTGCCTCCTACGTGCTCCTGGTGACATGGGGGACGCAAGCCACCTGGGGCCAGGATCCTGTCTGCCACCCTCTGGGCTGCCCTCGGTCCTCTGAACAGCATCCTGAAGGCAACAGACCACTCAGCTGTTTCACTGGGAGAGTCAGCGCCCTTCCTCTCCCCACCCTTTTCACTGTCCTGGGTCTCCTGGCCACTGAGAAAAGAGCTGTGTAGCAGCAGGGACTGGGCCAAGACTACTTGACCCCAGTGAAGGATGATGAGGGTGGCTGAGAGTCCACGGCCCAGAGGCTCCTGTGGTCTAGGCTGGGGGAAGGGGGTGCCTGTCCTGGCCTGGGGCTCTCTGAGCAGCCCTTCCTGTCTGCCACACAGCCCAGGATGACTACTCAGTCCTATTTGAAGACACACTTCCCTGCAGACGGCTATTCCCTCCCTCAATGTGGCTCAGAAGTCACGTGGTGGCTTGTAAGGAGCCCAGAAAAAGTGGCCGCTGCCTGGCCCGGACTGCGCCATCCCCCATGACACAGGGCGGGACAGCAGAGGATGTGCTGGGATTAAACAGACATTCCTCCTCCTCTCCTCTCCTGGAGTTTACTTCTCAGACCCTCTCGCCTCTCCAAACAGGGCAAGTTAGGAGCTGGAGTGGGAAAGGTGTGCGTGTTGGCTTCAGTGAGCGATCACTCTTTCAGCTCAGGGTTTCTCTTGACTTGGAAATGGAAACTCTTGCATTGAACACAAGTTATAGTTTGTTGTTGTTATTGGGGCAGTCTTGCTCTGCTCCTTCAGCCTGGAGCACAGTGGCATGATCCTGGCTCAATGAAACCTCCACCTCCTCGGTTCAATCGATTCTCCCACCTCAGCCTCCGGAGTAGGTGGGATTACAGGTGCACACCACATGCCCAATAATTTTTGTATTTTTAGTACAGATGGGGTTTCGCCATGTTGGCCGGGCTGGTCTTGAACTCCTGACCTCAAGTGATCGCCAGGCTGAAGTACAGGATTACAGGCGCAAGCCACTGAGCCAGCTCAAATAAAGATAGTATTTAATTTAATTTAATTTAATTGTTTAATTATTTATTTATTTTCAAGACGGGGGGTTTTGCTCTTATGCCCAGGCTGGAGTGAAGTGGCACGATCTTGGCTCACTGCAACATCTGTCCTTGGGATTTCGTTCTCCTGCCTCAGCCTCGGGAGTAGCTGAGATTACAGGTGCCTGCCACCTTTGCCTTGGCTCATTTGTGTTTTGTTTTGTTTGTTTGTTTTTTTGCTTGTTTGTTTTTGTTTTGTTTGTTTGTTTGTTTTAGTAGAGATGGGGTTTCACTGTGCTGGCCAGACTGGTCCTGAATCATAATTTATTTTAATTAAATTAAATTTATTTATTTCTCAAGGCAAGGTTCACTCTGTCCCTCAGGCTTGGTAAGCCTAGTCACAGCCAACTGCAACCACAACCTTCCTGGCTCAGAGTGATCCTCCTGCCTTCTCTTGCCAAGTAGCTGAGACTACAGGTGCACCACACGTGCAGATCATTTTCTCAAATTTTTGTAGGGATGACGTCTTGTAATGTGACCAAGCTGAGTCCCAAACTCCTCTCTTCGGTGATCCTCTGGCCTCAACTTAGTAAATTGCTGGGATGGTAGGCATGAGCCCTCTGCCTGTTTACAAATCTGTTTTATTCTTTTTGTTAAAAATTGATTTTATTTTGTTATTATTATTATTTTTTCAACAGAATCTCACTATATTTGCCCAGGTTAGTCTTGAACTCTCTTGGGTTCAAATGATCCTCCCACCTCAACCTCCCAAATTGCTGGGATTACAGATATGACATACTGTCCCTGGCCCTCCAATTCATATTTGATTCTTGAGCCACTTAGTCAGAGCTTGATTCGCACATATCTCTGCAGTGACCCCAGGAGCCCCTCTCACAGCTCAGGCGCAGGAAGCTGAGGCTGCAGCCTGCCATCTTCTCTGCATAGTCTGCATCGAAGCGCTCATTCTGCGCCACGGTGAAGGTGGTTTTCCAGTCTGATCATGCCTCGGGGAGGAAGGCAGGGAGCAAAGCTGGAGTCTCATCCCAGGGAGGCCCGGTGTACATGGGGAGGCTCCAGCCGCTGCTCCCACCCACCCCAAACCCCCGTGCTGGCCGGCACCCACCTTTCCTCATGAAAGGGGAGATGCTGTGGTCCATGAACTCCTGGGGGACGGTGGTGTAGTTGGTCATAGGGTTCTTCTTCATCTCCTTGAATGGCGTGTGTTGAACCATGAGGTCCCGGTCTCACTGGCAGGGGAGCGCCCCACAAACTCCAGGATCTTCCAGATCTCCCTTTTTTTGGGGTTCTGAGCAGCAGAGGCTCCTCAGTGGAGTAGGTTTGCTGATTCAGGAAAACTCGAGGTCCTTCTCTAACCTCAGAGAGAACTGGCCGCTTCACTAGAAAACCGACAGAGCCAGCTCCACGCAACCCCGGGACCCGGTCCCTGGGGATAAAATGGTGCTCTGCCCTGTGATCCCATCGCAGGCTGGGCTTGGCTCCTATAGGTGAGGACCAGGATGATCTTCCGTGACTGTGGCCCTGGGTGGCACACCCTTTGGTGGGGATAATCAATAGGACTAAGTATCTAATCCGTGGCCCCCCATGCAGCTGACTCAGCTTCGGGAGATGAGAGCTGTGTGGGACCCGCTGCCAGGTGGGGCTGTATCGGGGAGGCCTGGGCCAGGGAGGCAGGATGCAGAATCTGGGCCTACTATGGGGGCCACCCAGGAGCGGGGCTGGCGGCATTGTGGGTCCCTGTGAGGTGCCTGCCCCCAGATGTCACATGAGGGGAAGCATCACAGGTGGTCTCACCTCCTTCATGTCTTCATAGAAGAGGTAGAGAACAGAATTGGGTGTGGCTCAGCTCCCACCACTCCTGCACGTGCACAGGTACCAGGACCCGTAGGACACTGGAGAAGCGGGCAGGGAGCAGCGACACAGGGGTTACTGTGTGTTGTAGCCACCACCTCTCGGCTCCACACCCTCCTTCCTCCCATCAAACCCACCTTCTCCGGCCATGAACTACTCAGGAAGCTGTCCCAGGTCCCAGGCTCCAGGGTGCACCTTGGCCATGTGGTAGAAAGTAGTAGTAGGAGACCGCCCGTCAACTTTGGGTTCAGGCAACATAGACCTGCGGGGCTTGAAGACCCAACCTCAGTGCCATCACCACACAGCCTGCCCCAGGCCAGCTCATCTCTTGGTTTAGCAAAGGAGGAACCTGAGGCTTAGCGGCTGACCTGCTTCTGAGATCTCATGCAGGTAGAGGCCAAGAAGCTGGGATTTGAACCCTGCTCAGATGTCAAAGTATGGCCTGGTCCCTGGATCCATATTCTACACTAATGTAATCTGCATAAATGCCTTCACACCCCAATTTGGAGCAAGGCATGCCCAGTCCCCCTCCAGCTCCCTCCTCAGTGGGCCCATTGAGCACCCACACGCTGCCTTTCTGAGGCCGAGACACGAGTAAGTCTTGTGTTTCTGGTCATCAGACCCTTGCCAGAGCAAGAAGCAGATGGTGTCCCTGCAGAAGATGAGACCAGGTTGAAAGAAGTGGAAGCGACCTTCCCAGAAGAACAGGACCGAGAAGCTGAGTGGCGCGGAGCCTCCTTCCTGGATTCCATGCCCCGCATCTGGACGTTTTTTGTTCTTTTTGGTTTTTTCTTTCTTTGAGTCAGGGAGTCTCTCTCTGTCACACAGACTGGAATGCAGTGGTGTGATCATGGCTCCACTGTAGCCTCAAACTTCTGGGCTGGGTGATCCTCCCAGATCAGTCTCCCAAGAAGCTGATACCACGGGCACATGCTATTACACCTGGCTTTTTTTTTTTCTTTCTGGAAAGAGACTGCATCCCTATGTTGCCCATGCTGGTTTCCAACTCCACCAGCCTCCAAGTCAGCCTCCTGCCTTGGACTCCCAAAGTGCTGTGACTGATAGCGTAAACCACTGTGCCCGGCCTCACCTTGACCTTCTGATCCAACAGAGTCTGGGGCAGGGGGCCAGGAGCAGGTGTGTCTTCGGTTCGTGGGGCCGGTGTGTCTTTCCGTCTCCATCCTGAGCAGTGGGTCAGAAGGTCTATTGAGCTGAAGCCCCAGCCTGTCCTCCCCTCCCCTTGCAGGACACGGTCACACACAGAAGAATCCCTGGGGCTTTGGAACTCAAGGAAGGGCACCACATGAAGATGGGAGCTCGGCGACACTTCTCCAGGTCACCACCTTGGTAGATCATGTCCAGAATCTGGCTCACCCAGGTAGTCCCTGGAGAGGAGGGAGATGGGAGGTGAGCGGGCCGAGGGCACAACCTCGCTGTGGGTGGGGACTGAGCGCCAGGAAGGAGTGGGTGGCCCTCCTCACCTGCCGGACTTGGGAGTAGGTGCTGATGGGCAGGTCATCGGGCCGGGCCGGAAGCTCTGCAGGGGGTCCCAGTGCCTCTGCAAAGTACTTGATGGGGCGGAACCCCTTCCGTGCTCAGTGGCGGCGAGAGTGTCCTGGATCAGCTCCATGTTCCTGCGTCAGGGGGCCAGGCCAGGCCTGTTCCTTAACACCATCACAACAGCAAGAAAGCGGCATTCTTGCTTTCAGGGATGTCACTGAGGCCTAGGGAGGCTGAGTGACTTGCCCACGCTCACAAAGCCAGTTAGTGGCAGGGGCTGGGGCTGAAACCGGAGTCAGCTTCTAATGCGGTGGTTCCCCAGCCACAGCCCACACCTTTCATTCACCTGCAGAGCTGTTTGGGAATCCCAGGCCTGGGCCATGGGTGCAGACCAGTGAAAGCACCCTGTGCAGGCGCAGGTCCAAAATGTAGAGTGTGTGTGGTCTCCAGGAGAGTCCAGCTGCACTGAGGAAGCTCTAGGGCCTGGCTGTGCTGTCTCCCTACCAGCCAGTGCCCTTTGTCTTACCATTTCCTACTGTGAACCCCTCCACCCAAGGAGTCCTCCTCTCCCTGATGCTCCCTCCTTGAGCCCTCAGG